CTTAAAAGGAAACTGAAAATGTGGTCCAGCTGTGTGTCCAAGAAAAAGAAAGAGATTCTGATAAATACATGTCAGTCTCTGCCTCACCTGGCATTCAAGATTCTCCACACTCTGACTTAAACTTACCTTTCAAACTTGATACCTTTATATAGTTATGACTATTGGTCAGCTTTGCTGCATTAACAACCAAACCCAAACTCTCAGTGGCTCACAGCAACAAAGGTTTATTTCTGACTTATGTTCATGCAAGCTGTGGGCAGGCTACAGCTCTGCTCCATGGGGCTTCTCATTTCAGGACCCAGGCAAAAGGAATAATTCTCACGTGGAATATACCCATGCTAGTGGCAGAGAAGAAAGTGGAAACTCACATGCACAAACACGGCATCGGTTATCTCTGTTCACATCCCATTGCCAAAATATGAAACATGATCAAGTCCAAAGTCGATGAAATGAGACATGTATACTCTTCTACAAGAGGTACTTCAAGTCCCATAGCAATGGGCAAGGAAGGAGAAAGTAAATATTTTCAAACAATAAGTCAATCTATTATAACTGCCATCTTCCAGCTAGGGTACATGATAGACATTACTAGTCAATCCTAGCACTCTTTCCTCAGAATCCCTCTCAACACACTTCAGACAGTCATTGCCAATAATCTGAGTCTGGAAAAAAAGAAAGCTGAAATTTATATGCTGTTCTTATATGACCGCCTGGGCTCCAGTAAACATTACAAATACCCACTTCTGAATCTTTGCTTCAGGCTGGAATAAGCTTAGCCTTCTTAGACCTTGTCCTGCCAGGCTATCCAAATCCAATCCATCCTTCAAATATCTATATTTTATATTCATTCTTTCCACAAAAGAATACCTAGCATAGTATCTCAAACACGTATCTGTTGAGTGAACCTGTTTCACATCCCCTGTGTCTTGCACATAAATGCTCCCTTGATTAATTAATAGCACTGTTCCTTAGAACAATGGGAGTTAGTATCACATGCCAGCAGTTTCTGGGGTGGGAGCCTAGTATACTCCGCTTGTGTTTGAATCCTGATTCCACCACTTACTAGTTAGATTATGTCAGGTAAGTCATTTTAATTGTGCCTCAATCCTTATCATATATAAAATGAGAATAATACTAGGGCTTTCTATATAAGCCTGTTATATTAAATAGAAAAATTCTTGGCAAAAACACATTGTAAGCACCAAAAAAAAAAAAAAGTGGAAAATGTTATTTTTTTAGCTCCACTGAGACTGAGGGTTTTTTTTTTTTCCAAGCCTTTATTCTTGGTGGAAGACAAAAACCAAGAACACTGGAGACCTGGATCACCCCACTCTTAACCCACCCCAGGACCTTGAGCCAGCAGCTATTCCCTAACTCATAAATCCTGACTAATGACATAGACATGTCACCTTAATGTTTGTGAAGCCCAGTGACTTATTGTTAAGTGCTTGGAGATCTTCAGATGAAAGGCACCCAAGGGCAGCCACCAGACACCCTATTCAGCCATAAAAGCAAAATACTACCAAAAAACTTGGAAAAGGCAGAGGCTCCGTAACTTAGTGAGCAGAGTATTAAAGCAGGCACTCTGGAAGAGCAAATCAATCCTTAGACTGTAATCCCTGAACACCGAGACCCGGAGAGAGATCATTTTGAATGCCTCAGACTACCTGGAGACTCCTGGACGGTGCGGGAAAGGGGAGGCAGAAGGATGCCCAAGTCTTTAATTTGACTTAGGTTGTGGGAGGAGTGTTACTCTTTCAAACCTCTCCTAAATAAAAACAGAAGCAATAACATGTATTGTTATATTAATTCATTAAAAGGCTTGGGCAAACCGGCCCCCTCTAAGTGGCTTGTTTGTGAGTTCTGACCAGTCCTGAATTATGTCAGCCTCCCCTTTCAACTTCATCCTTCCTTCACCTCCCCATTATCACCACCTCAGCCAATGGGTCTTCTTCGTAGACCCACAGACCACTCTAGGGAGAGCCGAGTCCGGGTGTGTGAGTATTGACAGGCCCCCTGGCCCTGAAATCCTCAAGTGGGGGGGGGGGGGGGGGGGGATGAGGGGGGAAATAGCGGTGCACAGTACACAGGTTTTACAGGGGCTGTCCCCGAGGTTAAAGCAAAGAAGAAACTGCCACCACAGCCAGTAGCTCCCTGTCCCTAAATAGTGGGCAGCCCGTGATGTAGCGGCAAGAGCACTTCACTTGGAGTCTTGCAGCCCTGGAATTCTACCATCGCATAGCTTTGATACTTTAGACCGGTTCTTTAAACATTCTGGGCTTTGGTTTCTTCATCCGTAAAGTGTGGATAACCATACTATCTATCCCACAGCCCGTCGTGAAAAGCAAACATGAGGGTGCAACGCAACGCGTCGTACCCTGGGAAGCATAAAACAAGAGACGTTAGAGCCCCAACTCCTCCCCACCCCCTAACCCACAACGCACGTTACAGACCAGCAGTCACCACCAATACAGCCGGGCCCCTCCTAAGGAATCATGGGCCGTGAAGTCCTTTGGTGGCCACACCCTCGTTTGCAGTCATGGAAGTGGGAACTACGCCTCCCAGGATGCCGTGGTGAGGCCGCCGCCGCGACCGCCCTCTGCTCCGCCCTCCTCTTGCACAGCTTCCTGGGATGTGTAGTTCCATATCCAAGCCGGCTCGCCGACAAAAGAGGGCAGAGAAACCACAAACCCCAGAAGTCCTCACGTCCACTTTTCTCCCTCCCCCTCCAGGAGTCGGAGTGCTGTTTTTGTTGTTGGTGGAAGGTGAGGGAACAGCTGATCCGTGTGTGGGGTAAGAAACTTGGCCTAATTTGGGGGCGATCTAATGCGGGGGTCACCCCCAATTTCCAGTCTGTGAAAGGATAATCTAAGGGAACTGTGGAAGGGGGATGCAGGAGCGTTTGGGTTTTAACACTTTCCGTACTGGAAAAGCCACCCCTTCTGTTTTGAGAGTTCTTGGTCTCGAGGGGGCTCTGATCAGGGGTGCGCCCCCTCACTGTTCTCCCCTTCCCCTCAGTTCTTCTCTATAAAGCTTGTTACGCCTAAGGTAGTTGGGAGACACTGAATTATTTACTCATTCTCTCCCACGCAAGACTTGAGCCTCACAAACCTTCCCTTTCTCCTTACCCTCCCGCCCCAATCCAAAGGCCTTTTACTACGCCGAGTCCCGGGAGGGAAGCCTTACAAGTGGCAGATGTTAAGGAACTCTTAGAGGCCTACAGAGTTGAGGGGTGGGAGTCCCCCCACCCGCGCGAACGCTTGAATCTAGCTACACACATACATTTAGGTGCCCAGAGCTTTGTTTCAAGTCTGGTGAATGTTTCCAGCTGTTAAGGATTTTATTTGTGGGGAGTATTTGGGATTCCACAGGCTTAGATCTGTGGGGGATGATGCATCCCCCATTTTAAAAGCCGGAAGAATTGTATTTGGAGAAAACATGGACGAATTTTAACGAGGGATTTTTCAGCGATGAAATCCCAAAGAAACCTCTTGTCCCCAGTTCAATCCGTATTTTGGAAGGAGAAGTTGCTTCTTTTTGTAGAGCTGGCCCACCTTTCCTTCTCTACTGAATTCCTGTTGTTTTTAAAGTTGCTAGCCCCAGACTTCAGCCTCGCGTGGGTTTGTGATGTTTGGGGGTGTGCCCATGACTATTGGCCATGGCTGATTGGACACCATCCTCTGTGGTTGACACAGGATGAAGATTAGTGGGATGGAGAGGAGCGATGACGAGAGCCATCTCACAGCCCTGGGCTGAGGAGTTGTGTTGATTATTGTTGTTGTTCCTCACTCCATCCCCATGTTTCCTAATTAACTCTCCCCACCCTAACTTGGAACACCCCTCCCTGTCAATCCCATCTTATAGCATGCCTCCAACTACACATCCAGGCACTTGGAATTGAGGCTAAAGGGGGCAGAGAGAAAACACTACAGCTGGGTTAACATAGTCAAACCAGTAGGTTTCTAGTTCTGTTCCTGGCGAGACCTGAAGAAAAGAACGTTAGGTTATTTTTGAATTAATCCTCCCTTCTTTCAACATCATATGTATATTTCCCCTTCTTAGGGCCCCTTACTTCCCACCTTCCAATCTATCCCCTATCCAGGGGTGGGACTTTGCCTGGCTCCAGGCTCCCACATTCCATCTCCCCACACCACCACGTTCCTGCTGAATGTTTCACCCCACCCTTGAAGCAGCCGCCTCCAGAATTCTTGACTTCCTGAAGTTGAGAGGCAAAACCTGTCTTTCCTTATATCCTCCTTTTCCCTTTGTCTCTTGAATGAGAGCAGAAGCTTTTTTTTTTTTTTTTTTTTTTTTTTTTTTTTTTTTTTTTTTCAATTCATGAGGGTAGACAACTTGGAGAGGGGAGAGAACTGAGACCTCGGGGGCCTGAGGATCGGGCTGTTGGTCCCCGCCTCCAGCCATATTCCTGCTTTGAAGACTCAGTCATTACTTTCAGAGAGTGTTCAGGTGTCATAAGCTACTCCTGGGTACAGCTGGAGTGGGCAAGGAGACCTGCTCGGAATGAGGGGGCCCCACACGTCAGTTGGATTTTGAATTCAAGAGCCAAAAAGATAAGCGGGATGGGATGGGGAGGTGGAGGCTGAAGAATTTGGAATGTTCAAGTATGTTAAGAGGTGGGAAAGGAGGAACTGAGCGGGTAGAGCCTGGGATACTGAGACGTGGTCAATGGGACTATGAAAGGGGAGCAGAAATGAGAGAGATCTTAACTCTAGGAAGAGTCTGTGACTCAGAGAGGGTACGATGTGAGACAGGATGGGGACTGACTCAGAAGGTCAGACCTGTGTCCTGGAGACTAAAAGTGATACCTCTGAAGGGTCCTGTAGCCCTTAGGGGCTAGGAACGAAATATGCCTCCATCTCTGAGTGTAGTGGCAGGAGCTGTGAGTGGGTGGGGATGGAGTTGGGGAGAAGAAGAGATGGATGGGAGAGGTTTTAAGATATTAACCCTTTATTTCATAGGGCAAATACCTTGAGGGCAAGATGGAAGAATCATCACTAAGCCGGGCACCTTCCCGGGGTGGAGTCAACTTTCTGAATGTAGCCCGGACCTACATCCCCAACACCAAGGTGGAATGTCACTATACCCTTCCCCCAGGCGCCGTGCCCAGCGCCAGCGACTGGATTGGCATCTTCAAGGTATCCCTGAAACCCCTTTTGGCTCAGATTTGTGAGCCATGGGTTGGTTGGAATCAGGGGAATGACTTAGTCCTTGGGTTCTCAACCGCATGTTGATAGAGAAGAAGGGCAGAGATGTCACAGGTGACAGAAGCCATCTGTGTAAGCCAAGGCTCATCTCCTCCCCATCTTAGCCCTGCCCTCTCCTGCCACAAAGGATCCCTCCACTTTCCCGGTCTGTCATCATCCTTGTCACTGTAACAGCATCCTCGCCCCCATTCAGTCCCTCAGCCCTTTCTGCCATCCCTAGCTCACAGATCCATCACCATACCCCTCTCCCACCATGGGCCTTCACAGGTGGAGGCTGCCTGTGTTCGGGATTACCACACTTTTGTGTGGTCTTCGGTGCCTGACAGTGCAACTGATGGTTCCCCTGTCCACGCCAGTGTCCAGTTCCAAGGTACGAGGGAACATGGAAGGTCTGGGAGGAAGGAACCTAGGGGATAGAGGTTTGGAGGAAGATAGTGGGCTCAGAAACCAAAGTTAGGCACAGGCAACAAGAAAAAATAAGTACAAATAAATAAAATAAGAACTGTATCCAGTAGGGCTCAGCAGACATAGGATTGTGGGATTATTACAGAATCAGGGACTTAGAGATAGAAGGACCTGTCAAGGGCCAGTAATCCTGCCACCTACCCCCCAAAAAGAGGAAGTCCTCTCAGGGAACTAGGGGTAGGAAGGAGGGAAAGGTAGTGTCATAAATTGAGAAGAAGGTAGTCCTTAGATTCTGAAAGACCTAGGCTCAAATCTCAACTCTAATACAAGCTATTAGACCTTGGACAAATTACTTAATTTCCCTGTCTCTGTTATCTTAACAGGAAAAGGGGATGCATGGCTTATAGGGACAATATGAAGGTTTAAAGTGATACAGGTAAAGGGTTAGCATAGTGCCTGGTTCAGGGTGGCCACTCAGTAAGTGATAACTAACATTATTATTATTATTATTATTATTATTAGGGAAGGTAGGCTTGGGAAAGAGAGGAAGGACAGGCCTAGGCAGAAAGGAGGAAGAAGAGTATCTCAGGGAACAGAAATAGCCCATGGGAGGTAAAGAGGAAAGAAAACAGTATGTGGAACGAGGAACGAGGGACTGGAACCAAGGACAGTGGGTGATAAGACACATCAAGGTGGGGGCGGCTGGGTGGCTCAGTCAATGAGCATCCGACTCTCGATTTCAGATCAGGTCATGATCCCGGGGGTCGTGGGATCAAGCCCCACATAGGATTCTGTGCTGGGCGTGGAGCCTGCTCCCTCTCTCCCCATCTGGTGCTCACTCTCTCTCTCTATATATAAATTTTTTTTAAAAAGACACATCAAGGAAAAGGAAGACTGCCAGGCACTTGAGGGCCTGGGATCATATTAGGGTCCTGGGTCCATTCCTCTTCCCACAGCCAGCTACCTGCCCAAACCTGGAGCCCAGCTCTACCAGTTCCGGTATGTGAACCGCCAGGGCCGGGTATGTGGGCAGAGCCCCCCTTTCCAGTTCCGAGAGCCAAGGCCCATGGACGAACTGGTGACCCTAGAGGAGGCTGATGGCGGCTCTGACATCCTGCTGGTCGTCCCCAAGGCCACTGTGCTGCAGGTGAGACAGAGCAACAGAGCTGCTCCCAGGCAGCGGAGTGGGAGGGGCAGGGGAGGGGGAGGGCTGCATGGCAAGGGACTGCTTCTCACTTTACCTTCCCCTGGGCTGTGGCCTCAACTGAGCACCTCACCAGGACTTACACAGTCTTGCCATTAAGAAAGTCTTGATCTAACATAGACACAAACATGTAGGGCAGGAAAGCAAGCTACCCACAGGCCCATGTCACTCAAGATTTCATAAGTACTTTTCAAACATTCCTTCTCCCAAGTGCTACATCCTGTCCTAGGCCCTAGAGGATGATCCAAAGGGTAGAGGGAGGCCACTCCAGGGAAGGAATGTTCAGAGGAAGGGGAGTATGAGACCCACTTCCAGGACAGGTGAGCAGTGAGAGCAGGTGGTAGGGCCCCACACCTGCACGGTCCAATACAAAAAGCTCTTGAACAGTTGAAATGTGACTGGTCCAAATTGAGATGTACTGTATGGGGAACATACACAAAGGATTTTGAAGACTTAGTGTTAAAAAAAAAAAGTAAAAGATCTCAGTGGTTTTTTATATTGGTCACATGTTGAAATGATAATACTTTGGATACGCTAAGTTGGATAAAATACCATTAAAACAAATTTCACCTGTTTCTTGTTACTTTTTTGAGTATTTACTAGGAAGTTTAAAAAACTATATATGTGGCTTGTATTTTTCTATGGGACCAAATAGACCAAATAGAGAAGAGTTAGAGAGTGGGGGCAGATGTTGGCAAGGACTTCCTGAAGGAAGATCAGGGATAGGGAAACTGGGGAGGAAGTACATTCCCCAGACAAGAGGACAGACTTGAGGAAGTGCTCAGAGGGTGAGAATGGGTACCTGATCTGTGATTTAGATAAACTCTTGCCTTCTAGAACCCTCTAAACACACGGGATCAGCACAAGAATAGGAAGATGTCTATATCTTACATAAGTCAGAGATGTGTGAGCTCCTACCCTGTGTTCTGGGTTTTTTTTTTATATTAAGTTTTTATTTTGATTCTAATGTAGTTAACATACAGTGTTTTGGTAGTTTCAGATGTACAATAGAGTGATTCTGCAGTTCCATATATATTAATCAGTACTCATCATAAGTGTATTCTTTAATCTTTATCGCCCATTTCACCCATCCCCTTACCTACCTCCCCTCTGGTAACCATCAGTTTATTCTCTATAGTAGAGAGTCTGTTTCTTGGTTTATATCCCTTTTTTTCCTTTGCTCATTTGTTTTGTTTCTTAAATTCCACATTTAAGTGAAATCATAGGGTATTGGTCTTTCTCTGACTGATTTCACTTAGCATTACCCTCTCTAGCTTCATCCATGTTGTTACAAATGGCAAAATTTCATTCCTTTTCGTGGCTGAGTAATATTCCATTGTGTATATATGTACCACATCTTCTTTATTTGTTCTTCAGTCGATGGACCCTTGGGCTGCTTCCATAATTTGGCTATTGTAGATAATGCTGCTATAAACATTGGGGTGCATGTATCCCTTTGAATTAGTGTTTCATATATTAAAAAAAATTTTTTTTGCTGTTTATTTTTGAGAGAGAGAGAGCACGAGGCAGGGAGGGGCAGAGAGAGAGGGAGACGCAGAATCTGAAACATGCTACAGGCTCTGAGCTGTCAGCACAGAGCCCGACACGGGGCCCAAACCCACAGACTGGGAGATCATGACCTGAGCCGAAGTCGGATGCTTAACTGACTGAGCCACCCGAGCGCCCCTAGTGTTTTCATATTTTGGGGTAAATACCCAGTAGTGCGATTACTGGACCGTAGGGTAGTTCTATTTTTAACTTTGTGAGGAATCTCCACACCATTTTCCACAGTGGCTGCACCAGTTTGCATTCCCACCATTGGTGCACAACGACTCCTTTTTCTCCACATCCTCGCCAACACTTGTTGTTCCTTGTGTTTTTGATATTAGCCACTCTGACAGGTGTGAGGTGGTATCTCATTGTGGTTTTGATTTGCATTTCCCTGATGATGAGTGATGTTGAGCACCTTTTCCTGTGTCTGTTGGCCATCTGGATATTTTCCGTGTTCTGTTTTTGCATTTGTTATTCTCATTATAATTACCTTTCAAAAATCTAGGCTAAGAGATCACTTTCCAAATGAGGACAGAGACTCAGAGAAGTTATGTAACTCATTCAAAGTGACATAGCTAGCAGGGCACCTGGGTGGCTCAGTTGGTTGAGTGCCTGACTTTGGCTCAGGTCATGACCTCACAGGTCGTGGGTTTGAGTCCTGCGTCAGGCTCTGTGCTGACAGGTCAGAGCCTGGTATCTGCTTCAGATTCTGTGTCTCCCTCTCTCTGCCCCTCTCCCACTCGCATTCTGTCTCTCTCAAAAATAAGTAAATATTTTTTTTAAAAAACAAGTAACAGAGCTAGCAAAAATTATGTTGGAGATTTAAACCTACCTCTGTCGGGTTCCAGAATAGAGAAGGTAAAATTCAGGGAGCCATTCCTTTTGTCTATGTGGATCGAGAAAGACTTCTTCCAAGAGCGTCGAGAGCTGGTGCGTCTGACTGGTGGTGGGCAGGATTCAGTAACACACAAGCCTCCCCTTACTCAGCTCTTTATAGCTTGTACCGATGTAACCTCCCGGCCCCGAATGCACCTGCAGCGTGATGGGGACGGGACTTTCACGAGCACACCCCCCTCCTCATCCTGCTCCCTGTAGAACCAGCTGGATGAGAGCCAGCAAGAGAGAAATGACCTGATGCAGCTGAAGCTGCAGCTGGAGGGACAGGTGACGGAGCTGAGGAGTCAAGTACAGGAGCTCGAGACGGCTCTGGCAACAGCCAGGCAGGAGCATGCGGAGCTGATGGAGCAGTACAAGGTGGGAGTCGAGCCAGGTGGGGCACGGGGCCTGGCTGCTCACCCAGGGTCCAAAGTCTGAACCCAGCGAAGATGGGAAAGGAAAGATGTTAGTGGGCTTTTAAGATGGTTCCGGTATCAAAAACCTAGCTTTAAGGGGTAACAAGTAGGATTAAACTTGACATGACAGGAGACACATCCCCAAATGTAATGACACTCAGTTCTTTGCACACAGGAGTGCTGGGGGACGGGGGGATGTGGCCATATTCGCCAGTAAGGGAATGCTCTCTGGCAGTTTCTTTTTCAAGGAAGGTGACAGGGTAGGAAGGTGAGAACAGGCTAACTCCCGTGTGCTCCTCCCAAGCCCTTGTTCTGTGCTTTGAGAGGTGAGTCTCAACTTCATTCTTCTGGGGGGAACCTTGATTCCAGGGGCTTTCCCGGTCCCACGGGGAGCTCACAGAAGAGAGGGACATCCTGAGCCGGCAACAGGGAGACCATGTGGCACGCATCCTGGAGCTAGAAGATGACATCCAGGCCATCAGTGAGAAAGTGCTGACAAAGGAGGTGGAGCTGGACAGGTGAGGGCGCCCTCTCTACCCCCATCACTTCCCTTCATTTCCTGTCACCCCCAGACTCCAGCCTCCTGTTTCAGACGGGCAAACCTGCACTCTGTCTGGTGTGGTTCTTTCCCCTTTCAGACTCAGGGTATTCCACTTCCCCGGCTTTTCTTTCCTGCCTAGCTCTCTTCCGTCTTTCCTAAGCCTATTCTGTATTCCTCACCTTCAGAAGTAATCATAATTACTATTTATGCTGCAACAAAGGCTAAGCAGGAGCTAGGAGTGGAGGATTTGGAAGAAAAGAGTGGATAGAACAGTCAAGACAAGATAAGAGAGGATGGATTTCAGATTTTATCACAGCAAAGAAGATGAGACTCCGTTCTCACTGTTAGGAAATGTCTGAACCGGTGATCCAGGAATGTTACGGGATCTCTCCTCTGAAAAAAAAAAGGTATAAGTCATAGAATCTTAGCCCTCAGAGGACTGTCAGGTAATTGAGAGGGTCACTACCTCAGAAGGCAGCCTCTTTCAATATCAGACAGCTGTCACTTTTGTATCTCTTGTATTAAACTAAACACCTCCCTTCTGTAACTTGCCTCCATTAGTGCTGGTTTAGACCTCTGGGGTTGCACAGGATGAATTTCTTTCTTCTACCAGACCACTGTCGTTTTTACCAAATGGCACAAACACTGACCACTTCCCGTGTCTGTCTGTCACATTTTCGCCAGGAGAAACACTCTGGTTCTTTCTTTCATCAAATTGTGTAATTAAGTCTCTTTCATTCGGCACCAGTAGATTTTATGTATATTTTTAAACTCCTTAAAGAGGCATTCTAGCCAAGGTCCAGAGTAAAAAAGTGAGTTACTCCCTGAGACTTCTCCAGTGTAGGATATGTTAGTCTTGCCCTACGGAGATAGTAAATGTCTAGGTTCTAAATCATGGAATAGAAAAGCAGGGATCAGACTGAGCATCTGGAAAAGATTAGGGACTGTCTAGCCCAAGGGTTAGTAAACCTATGGCCCATGTGCCAGATCTAGCCTGGCCACCTGTTTTTGTACAGTCTGTGAGTTTAAATGGTTTTAATGATGAATTAACGGTTAAACGAAAGAAGAAAAATATTTTGTGATATGAAAATTATCTGAAATGCAAATGTCAGTGTTCATAAATAAAGTTTTATTGGAACAGCCGTGCTTATTCATTTACACGTCTGTGGTGCTTTCACACTACAGTGGCAGAATTGAATAGTTACCACAGAATCCTCATGGCCTGCAAAGCCTGAAGTATTTATTATCAGGCCCTTTACAGAAAAAGTCTTCCAACTTCTGATCTAGATCCAAAGTTTATAATTGATCGTGGCTGTCCCTTGTCTAAAAAAAGACTGGATTCTGGTCTCTTGATTGAATGCAAACAACTAGGAAGGCATCAGCAGAACATTCCTTAAAATGACACATAAAGAGAACAAACTGTTTATTTCTGGATTGTGCTCTAGAACCAGGAATCTTGGATACTCAGGGCTTCCAGCGAGATCACCTTGGTCTGGGGATTTGGGCATCCCAGAGACAATAGGAGGTGTGGGCCCAGAGGGGCACCAGAAAAAGTGATAAAGACAAAAGTCCACGTCCTTCGTATCGCCTGTGGTGACCAGCCGGGTTATCTGATGTTCCATGTCCCCACGTACAGGGTGAGAGACACCGTGAAGGCCCTGACTCGGGAACAGGAGAAGCTTCTTGGTCAACTGAAAGAAGCGCAGGCCGACAAGGAGCAGAGCGAGGTAGGGGCTCAGAGTCGGTTTGCTTTCTCAATTGTTCTTCCACTGCGTTGAGGCCCTTTTGAGTGCCGGGCACCAAAGCCGATAAAAAATGTAAGGAGGACATTGTACACACGCTCTCCTAGGAAACAAAATGTATACCCAAGTCAGGATTAGTCAAAATGGAATATATTCAGCATCACCAGGGAAGAATAATAAAGTGTTAAGATGCTCCACAGAAGTGGACAAAAGCACGTCTTATTAGGGTCATTAGAAGGGGGCAGGGATGCCTGGCTGGCTCAGTCAGTAGAGCGTGTGACTCTTGATCTCAGGGTGTGAGTTCAAGCCCCACGTTGGGCATAGAGTGTACTGAAAA